AGTTTGCCAGCGTGGATCCGAACCAGTGCCATATTGTATCCTGGATGTGTAAGATGTGTATCACGATCTGTTGTTCAATGTATGTGGTGCAGGCTATGTGGTACAACGTTCAGGCTTTCGGCCCCACCGAGGGGCCCATTCCTCGATGCATGGCCGCCTCCGGCGCCGGGAGGCGCCGGGAAAATCGGCTACGTGAGCTGATTCTCAAACCCCCCTCTTTGCTATCCCCCCCTTTCGCCCGACCCGAATGGACCCCTAAGAGCGATCTTTGCTCGGGGATATTATCCGAGTCACGCTTCGTAAGGAGATGACCCTGGCGTTCGCGGGCGGATGGTCGGCGGGCGTGGCTCCAGCGAGAAAGAATTGCCCTGGAGGCAGGCTCCCAGCCCGACGAGGAGGAGGGGGAGGAGGGTGCGGAGGGAGGGAGCGGAAGCACAGTGCACCCGCAGAGTAAGGACGAGCGAGTTGGCAAGGTTGCCCCTGCATCCTTCCCCTTTGGCTCGTCCTTGCCGCTGTCGCTGGCCGCGCCCCGCGCGCAACGTGTCGACAGATGGCCAGCAACGCCCGCCCCGTGACGTAAGCCTGCCCGCACCAGCCTCTGGTTTGATACCGACTCCAGGAATGCTGGCGCTCCAGGCTCGTATGTTGGCCCGTGAGACAGCGGCGGCAGCAGGGCCGGTCCCTTAGTCTCAGGCGAGCCATCAAGTTTTGGCTCAGTTTCAGTTAAATCGTTCAGGCCTGCGGGACCGCTGATGAAAACTTACCGCGCATCCGTATTGTACTGGCTGGGAGGAGTCAGGAGGGAGGAGGGAGGACGACGAGAAGGGCGGAGCGAGGAGGGTGGACGAGGGGGGCGCAGGCCCTCCTCGCTTGTCCTGGCCCGGAGGAGGAGGAGGAGGAGAATCAGCAGGACAAGAGGTAGGAACGGAGGAGGAGGAGGAAGGTGGAGGGGATGGAAAACGAGGAGGGCGGAGTAGTGGGGAGGAGGAGGTGAAGACGAGGAGCAGAAGAAGGAGGAGGAGGAGGCGTAAGACAAAGGAAATGGTGAGGAGGAGGAGAGGTGAGGATGCTGACGACGAGGGGTGATGAGAACGAGTGAGGAACCGAGAAGGAAGTCGAAGATTGATGGGGAGAGGTGGGATGATAAGGAGTGGGGGGGAGGAGGAGGACGAGGAGGAGGAGGAGGAGGAGGAGACTGGAGAAAGGAGAGAGGAGGAGGGGACGTGAGGAGGAGGAGGAGCTGGTGGATGAGGAGGACGACGACAAGTAAGGAGGAGCAGGAGGAGGAGGAGCAGGAGGAGAATGTCGACGATGTGACGGGGGATGAGGAGGACGACGACGACCAGTAAGGAGGAGGAGGAGGAGGAGGAGGAGGACAATGATACGGCTCGGAAAGGCTCGCTGAAGGCCGCGGAGGATCAGAACAAGGGCCGCGTGTGCGGCTTCGTAGGGTTCGACCCCCGCGTGGAGCCCGGCCGGCGCGGGGCACGGCAGGAGGACGAAGGGGACGAGGCCAAGGAGGAGGAGGAGGGGGAGGCGGGGGGGCCGAGGGCGAAGCGGACGACGAGGGTCAGGGGGTGGGCGGGGAGGGGGGATGGGGTGCTGGACTCGACACCGTCGCGTGCTGCAGCTGGACGTGCAGAGGCGCCAGGTGCGCGCAGGCGGGCCCAACGCCCCAACTGCCTGAACGTGCGAGCGCCTTCCGTTCCCCACGCGGCCGATCGCCACGCCCGGAGGTGTTGTCGACACCAAAGGAGGAGGAGGAGGAGGAGGAGGAGGAGGAGGAGGAGGAGGAGGGGGAGGAGGAGGAGGAGGAAGAGGAGGAGGAGGAGGAGGAGGAGGAGGAGGAAATTGAAAGGCAAGAGGAGAAGGGAACACCACCTGGCAAAAGCTGTGTCTACACACCAGTGGGCTGGCGTCTCATTTTGGGGTGAGCAGCAAGCAGGCCTGCAGAAGTCGCTTGCCAGACGAAGTGTGACTTGGCAGGGAAAGACCGTTGACGGGCCACTGAGGTGGAGGAGTGAGGTGGAGAGCCGAAATTGCTTGATGGGCCGTTGGTCGCCGTCCCTGGCTTAAACGAAATGAGAGACGCCAGGCCTGTCCAAAATAGAGCAGAGGAGGGAAGAGGGGAGGACATGATAGAGGGGAAGAAGGTGGAGTCGATGCGGACTCCTCCCGTGGGCACCTGTGCATTTCACACCCCGTAAAGTCGTGCTGGACTCCGCACCTCAGGGTTGATCCCTTCAAGCGCAAGTTTCATGAGTCGAAGATGGAATTACCTGGGACTTTCTCGACGCTTTGTTTCAAGGCACTGCAACGGAAGAAAATACACGCCTGAGGGTGATTGCATGTTCCCCGCCTTGAATCTATGTGTTTGCGATGTCCTACCATGGCGGCCTTTGCCTCCGCGAATGTGCGGTGGGGCTCACGCGTGGCTGCTGAAAGGGACGATTCAGCAGGAGCGGCGCTTCACCTCTTGCCGACTGCACTGTTGGTACACGTTGGCCTCACCGAGATCGTTGCTTGGAGGTGTCCGCTCCATTTTTCCCTCTTCGCAGAAAACACCGCAGCAAAGCATCCTAAAGGCGGCGAAAGATGCAGCCTGGACAGGTGGGAGAGCACGGCCATATGTACTTCGGTGTCTGTTTTACCTGGGATCGCGACCGTCCAGGCCCACAGTGCAGCCGGCACGGCGGCGGAAGCGCGATCCCTGGATGCATTGAGGACGTCTCGGGCGAAACGGCCACCGAACCAGGCGGTCCAGGGGGCGTTTCCCGTCCCCTATGTGCGACTCGTGCGTGTTTTCCCATATGAGAACCCTCGAGCGGAACGCAATTACGGATCCCCCCCCTCCAAAAAAAAGGAGGATCCGGCAGGAGCAGCGCTTCATCTTCTGCCGATCCCTTTGTTAGTGCAAGGTGGCGTTGCCGAGATCCTTGCTTGGAGGTGTCCGCTCCCTCCTTCCCGTTCAGAGAAGTTCCCAAACAGTGCTGGCAATTATGGGTTCGTTGTCGGCCAGCTTGTTGTCGCCGCTGCCGTCCGTCGCCGCTGCTTCTGGGCCTGGCTGCCGCCTCGGCCGGCTCGTCGTCGCCGTCGTCGCCGTCCGCCGCCACTGCTTCTGCGCCGGGCTGTCGCCTGTTGCGCACCCCCCTTCTCCCAGTTGCATGGCAATCGCATTGCATTACAATAGCATCACATTGCATTGCAAGCGCCTTCCACTTTTGCAATCGAATTGCATCGCAATCGGGTTGCATTGCAATCGCGATCGCCCCGCATAACAATCACCTTGCATTGGATATCATTGCAATCACATTGCACTACAATTGCATAGCATTGCGTTGCATTGTTGTGCCTTGCTTCGCCTTGCTCTGCCTTGCTTTACATTGCTTTGCACTGCAGTGCTGTATATTGATTTGCATGTCCTTGCATTGCTTTTCATTTCGTTGCATTGTGTTGCCTTGCTTTGCTTTGCGTTGCCTTGCGTTGCCTTGATTTGGATTGCATTACTTTCAGTCGCTTTGCATTGCAATCGCATTGTAATCGCACTGTATGCGTATTGTGTTGCATGGCGTGGCGTTGCTGTTTATACACTGCAATGACATGGCATGAAATTGCAATATCACTGCTATGAGCTGCACTGGACTACCTCGCATGTCATTACATTACAATCGCATTGCTATGACATGCTTTACATGCTTGTATTGGATTGCCTTGCATGGTGTTGCTTGCATTGCTTTGCCTTGAATCGCATTGCTTGCATTGGATTGCTTTACATTGTTTTGCGTTGCATCGCATTGCTTAGCAGTGCTTCGCATTGTTACGCATTGATTTACATGGTTTTGTAATGGCGCGCATCGCATTGTATCGCTTTGCGTTTCTTTTCGTTACTTGGCGTTCATAAGCGACGCATTGCTTCGCATTACAATCACACTGCCTGGGTTTGCTTTGCATTGGTTTGCAATACTCCGCGTTGTATTGCTTCGCGTTGCAATCGCAGTGATTTGCGTTGCATTGCATCGCGTCGTACTGCTTTGAAGCGTTTAGCGTTGCAATCGTATTGTCAATGCACTGTCATCGCATTGCAGTCGCTTTGTATTGCCTTGCTTTCCACTGATTGTCATTGCTTGGCATTGTTTTGCAGTGCTTTACACTGCATTGCTCGGCATTTCTTTAGATGCGGTGCTATGCATCGTTTTGCATTGTGTTGCATCGCTTTGCATTGCCTCGCGTTGCCTTGATTTGGACTGCAGTTGCATTGCTTGGCAGTCCTCTGCATGACTTTTCACTGCTCGGCATTTTTTTACATCATCAAGACTGCATCACAGGGACTGCACCACCAAGAGTGCACCGCACAGACTGCAGGACCTCACTGTTTGGGGCCAGGCCCACGCTGGCTAACATACCCGTGCGTCTTCAAAACAGACAATCCAAAGCGCGATCTGGCACGGAGCCGCCAGACCGGCACACGAGCCTAGACGACGGGCGGCGACGAGGCGGTGACGACCAGCATCGAGCCGCCGGAGCGCCCACGTGGCCCAGTTCCTGAGAGTACAAGTAGGAACCCTTAAGTTTAGCGGGCGAAAAACGTTGTAAAGTAGATTGTTCCGTCACCGTGGGCGTTGCCCCAGGGCGGCTGGAAAGTTTATATTTTGACGTGCCATTACAAGGGTATGAAATTTCCAGCCGCCCTGGGACAGGCGCCCCCGTCAGCTAGAGACAAAATTGTTACACCGCTCGTCGCCCGTTGATAAGTACAAGCGCTGTCTGTCAATGGCAGAAAAACAATACGCCCCTACCCTGGTTTACGAGGCGCTGTGCGCTGAAACTCCTGTGGGCTGACTGGGCAAACCCTGCGTGATGTGCCGCGTCCTGGCGGCTCCAGGCGTTGAGGGTTCCCAGGATGTTTACAGACCACGAATTTTGTAACCCAGGGTCGGGTCGTTTTTTCACCCCCCTCGAGCCTGGGGCAACGCAGCAGAACGATCCGGCAGGAGCACCAGATGATGGCGGGCTGCGACTTCCTGCTCATGCCCTCGCAGGAGCGCGCTCTTCCTCACAACCCACCAAACCACCCCAACCCAACCCGAAGGCTCAGATTTACCCTCGATTTCCAGTGGGGGGGGCGGGAAGCATCGAAAAAACACACGTGGAACCCTTACCCTTACCCCCCCCAACCCGAAATTCGGGTCTTCGGGTTGGGTTGGGGTGGTCTGGTAGGTAGTCACTTCCGGGGCGCTGGCGCTCGCGGCGGCGCCGAGCACCTCGAGGCAGGGCCCAAAGTCTTTCTCGGGGCAGCGGCGCGCTGCATCCCGCGGCAGTGCGGTGCTCTGCGAGGCGTCCGCCTTGGGGCGATCGCCTTGAGGCGGGCCTGTCCCTCCACAGGAGGAATATCCAAACATGGTCGAAAAATAGTCAGGGAACTATTTTTCTATGATTGCTGAAGTAAATACATAATATTCGTAATAATACAGAAAATTCTAGACGCTCCGCGTATCCCCACCAGCCCCGCCTGCCGCTGGCGCTTCCGTCTGCGGCTGTAAAAAAAAATATTATAAAAAAGTATCCCCACCAGCCCGTCCAGAAACGACGCCCAGGCGAGTAGAGGGTCGTCCTGAGGGGCTTTTCGGCGTCTTGGGTGCCTCGGGGGGGCCTCTGTGGGCCGTTCGGAATCCTCTTTGGGGCCTCCTGGGGGCCTCTTGGGGCCTCTTGGGGCCATCTTGGGGCCTCTGGGAGCACCTTGGGTGCCTCTGGGGGGTCTCTTGGGGCCTCTTGGGGGTCTCTTGGGGGCCTCCTGGGGGCCTCTTGGGGGGCCTCTTGGGGCCATCTTGGGGCCATCCTGCGGCCTCTTGGGGCAGCCTGGGGGCCTCTTGCGGCCATCGTGGAGGAAATCGATCAAAGAAGGGGGGTTCCTAAATTGGAGCCCCCCCTCAGAAGGCCAAAATGGGGCCCAAACCATAGTAAAATCAATGATTTTGGCTTCCTCGCCGAGGCCGTTTTGGACGCTCTGACCGATCGCGGCCCCCCTTGTCCAGGTCAGTGGGGAGGGGGTAGGGGGAGGGGTAAACCCCTCCCCGAAGGGGAAGAAGGAGGGGTGGAAGAGGAAACGCTCTAAACCACCGACGCCCAGAGGGCTGGTGGGACTAGTTGCAAGTTTTCGCCAAACATCCGCCTGTAGGGGGACATGCCCGACCCAACGATAGCCAGACCTCTCAGAGGAGGAAAAGTCACCAAGACCCTTATTCTTCCGTCGTGTTCCCCTGTTTGGGCCTTTGGGAAGCCCTCGTCGCCACTGGGCCTCGCAGTCGCAGCAGTTGCTCCTGGGTTGCCCTTCCTCCATCCTCTCTTTCCCTCGAAGACGAGGGCGCTGCAGAAGCGCGAACTCTCCGAGGCCCGTTCGGATTTTTTGGATCGGGGTTGGGCGCCCGGGTTGGCGCGCGGAGCGCGCCGGGAGGGGCGACGGAGACCCCGCCAGGGGGACCCAGGGCAGACACAAGAAGCCCGCGAGGACCTCCGGATGTTTATGTCGATGCATTTGTTCTGTTCCACGGCTCCCTCCTTCTGCAGCACTGGGGGAGCAAAAAGTGGCACAAACATAAAAACTCGGAAGTCCGCGCGGATTTCTCGGATCGGCGCTGGACCCCACTTTTTGTTCCCGTAAGCACCCTCTCGCTCTCTCTCTCTCTCTCTCTCTGGCTGGCGTAGCGTGTCGTTCACCTCCGACTGCGACCGTTTTTGTGATCTCCTGTCGGCCACGCGAAGGGAGAGGCATGGGGAGGGGGGAAGACTTCTTAGAAGCACCCCTGCTCCTTAGGATGCGCGGATCTTGGGACCGGCGATTTTAAGAAGCAGCCTCCAGAGGATAAACTCCGTTCCGGGCGAGGATAACCCCGTTCCAGACCGTTCCAGAACGCCCCCTCCTCCCCCTCCTCCTCCTCCTCCCTCCTCCCTCCTCCTCCCTCCTCCTCCTCCTCCTCCTCCTCCTCCTCCTCCTCCTCCTCCTCCTCCCTCTCAGAGTTTTCCCCGAATGATCTGAGAAGGCTGCGGCGCCCGACACATCCTCCGGAGTTGCCGCATCTCAGAGATTCTGACTGTTGTTCCTCCACCGATGTTATGTTCGTCTTGGTATCGTCTTCGGGGGACGAAATCTATACATATCCACTGCTCCCTGGCCAGGCCCATCCTGAACCCAGGAGCTGTGTATACGCCCTCCTGGCCAAACCAGGAGGGCGTGGCGTATACACAGCTGCTGTGTTCAGGATGGGCCTGGCCAGGGAGCAGTGGATATGTATAGATTGCGTCGCCCTACGTCTGGAGCCTCCCAAGAAGTCGTCCCCCTTCCCCGGGAATGGGGCGAGGGGGCATCAAGGCGATTATGTCAGAGTGAGGGGGCTGAACCGAACAGTCATTCATTGTCCCTGGGTGTGTGGCCGAAGGGGAATCCCGCGATGCGGATTATTGTTGTTGTTGGCGTTAATGTTGTTGTTGGTGGTGGTGTTGTTGTTGCTGTTGTTGTTGGTGTTGTTGTGTTGTTGTTGTTTGTTGTTCGTTGTTTGTTGTTTGCTGTTTGTTGTTTGTTGTTTGTTGTCCCACCCCGCGACACACCCGGCGACCCACCCGCGACCCACCCGCGACCCACCCCGCGACCCGCCCGCGACCCACCCCGAGACCCCCTTGGCGACTCACCCGCGACCCACCCGCGACCCACCCGCGACCCACCAGCGACCCACCCCGACCCACCCGACCCACCCGCGACCCACCCGCGACCCACCCGCGACCCACCCGCGACCCACCCGCGACCCACCCCGCGACCCACCCAAAATGTTCGGCGCTTGCGGCGGTTTCTTTTGCGTTCGTTCCAGGTGGAGAACCTCCGACCCACCCGCGACCCAAACCGCGCCCGCGACCCACCACGCGACCCACCCGCGACCCACCCTGCGACCCACCCAATTTTTTTCCGCGCCTGCGGCGGGCTTCTTTTGCGTTCGTTCCAGGTGGAGAACCTGCGACCCACCCGCGACCCAAACAGCGTACAGTGTACAAGTCGAAATTTTCAGCGCATGCGGCGAGTTGTTTTTGAAGTCCTTCCAGGTGGAGGTGGAGAGCCCGCGACCAACCCGCGACCCACACGCGACCGATCCACATTGGTTTAACAGGAAAAATCGGCGCCTGCGGCGGGCTCGTTGTATGATTTGGGAGACTGTGGCGCCTGCGGCGGGCTTCTCCACAGTCTCGCAGACTGCCGACGTCCCCACCGCCCCCTCACTCTTATCCGCATCTGCGGGGGGCTACGTATATTTTTCCATGCGTGCATGGCGGCACCCCCACAGAGTCAGATTTGTGGCGGGGGATTGGGGCACATGGTGAGCATGCCCTGCCGCGCGCTGCCCCGCGCCGCCGTGCACTCCAACAGACAAATCTCTGAGACAGCGTTCCCCCTGCCCTCGAGCCCCCTGCCCCCTCTCCCTGCCCCCTTGTGCTCGCCGCCAGCCTTGCCCGCGCGCCAGACGGCGTGCAGCTTCTCTCGGCGGCGGGGCAGGGGGGGATATGAGAAGGAGAAGGCCTTCGTGATCGTGTTCTTGTTCACTGTTTTGCCGATCGGCGCGGCCCCTCGCACCCCCCCTCCCCCCCGTATGGAGTAGATCTTTCATGTTTTTGGCGCCTGTTTCGAGCAGGTGGAGCTTTCCCCATACGGCGCACTATTGCAAACAGTTGCATTCAGCAGAGGTCTGGAGCCAGACCCCCTTCGGCCCCCCCCATCCCGCCCAATCCCGAAACGCCGACTAAGAAAACGCCCACTTCTCAGAAGGAGGCGAGACTTCTCAGCAGCCCCCGCGCCTTCTGAGAGGTGCTCTCCGTGCCTTCGGGGAAGGCTCAGAAGACTTCTCAGAAGGCCCGAGGACTTCCTAGCCTTCTGAGAAGGCCCGCCCCTTCTCGGACGCCTGGTGGCTTCTCGGTCGCAGCTCGGCTCTCTGGTGGCCGTCTGGGGCGATCCAGGCCCCCCAGAGCGCCCTCGGCGAGGCGCAGCCCGCTGGAGCGCATCCCGAGGACGGGAAACCGCCGAGAACCGACGACGGCCCCCGAAAACCTCGAATCCCGAACCCGAAACTTCAGTCGGGCATGTCCCTCTACTAGAGTGACCTCCAAAAAAAGTAAAAGAAAATCGTCGGGGGACGATTTGTTCAAACTATGTTTGGCTATTCTTGGGCATGTTTCAACTATTTCTGTTGGTTGTCCAAAATCTGCCTGTAGGAGGACATGCCCGACCTAACCCGAAGCTCGGAAGTTGATAGACTTCCTACCCGGACGCGTCGATTAAGGAATTGGCCGCGCCAGTTCGCGAGAGGGCGTCGCGGCCGTCATTTTTGCGGGTCCAGGTCCGTCGGTTTCGGTCCTAGGCCGTTTTCATGAAGGGGAGGTTTACTAAAGGGAGGTTTGTCCACCGCCGGGAAGCTCTTGAGGCTTCCCCCCCAGGCCCGCCGCCGATTTCCAGCCCGGGCCTTCCGGTGGCGGACGGCGCTTTTCTGGGCCAGAGTTAAGTCGGGCGTGTCCCTCTGCAGGACGAATATTCAAAAATAGCCAAAACATAGTACGGCGACTCGTTTTCTGAGTATTCTGAATTTTTTGAATATGTTTTGGCCATGTCGAATTTGTCCTCCAGAATCCGCCTGTAGGGGGACATGCCCGGCCTACGCCCAGAGAGGCGCCGCCCTGGGGATAGCGGGGGCAAGACTCGGGCAGGCAAGACGCGAGCTCGCGGGAGCCGCTGGGGCTGCCCGGCGTTCAAAAATCTCCTGGGAGACGAGCGGCTTGCGTTGGAAGTCGGGCACGTCCTTCGACTCAGGGGCAACGATAGGGGGGGATAGTCATAGGAGGGGATGCATCGACCCCCAATCGCCCACTGACCGCCGATTGGGGCCCGATAGCCCCAACCTGCCCAGGAAGGTGCGGATTCACTATCGGAGGCCTATCGCTGATCTATCGACGATGTATCGCCGATTCCAGGTCGATGCATCCCCCCCTATGCCTATCCCCCATCGTTGC